TGGAAACAGAAGTTAAAAATTAATTGGAGAATAAATAAACTAATCTTAAAGAATGAGTGGATTAAAGAAGAAGTCACAGAAACAAATAATTTTATTCAAAAGAAAGGTAATAATGAGACAACATGTCAAAACTTGCGGGATGCAGCAGCAGTAATCAGAAAAAATCATATATATGTGTGTGTGTGTATGTGTGTGTGTGGTGTGTGTGTGTGTGTGTGTGTGTGTGCTTACATCAACAAAATAGAGAAAGAGCAGATCAATGAATTGGGCATGCAATTTTTAAAAGAGAAAAAGAAAAAATTTAAAATCCCCAATTAAACGCCAAGTTGAAAATTCCAAAACATAAAAGTGAGATTAATACAATTGAATGCAAGAAAACTATTGAATTAATAAATAAACTAGCAGTTTGTTTTATGAAAAAAACTAACAAAATAGATAAATCATTGGTTAATATGATTGAAAAAGAATGACAAGAAAACCAAATTATTAGTATCAAAAATGAAAAGGGTGAATACACCACTAATGAAGATGAAATTAAAGCAATTACTAGGAATTATTTTGCCCAATTGTGTGCCAATAAATTTAATAATTTCAGTGAAATGGAAAAATACTTACAAAAATGTGAATTCACCAGATTAGCAGAAGAGGAAATAGAATATTTAAATAAACCTATTTTAGAAAAGGAAACTGAAAGGGCCATAAATGAGCTTCCTAAGGAAATATCAGGACCAGATGCAGCAATACCACTGCTAGGTCTTATTTCCAAAGATGATTAGGGGAAAAGAGAAAGAACCTATATGCTCTAAAATATTTATAGCAGCTCTCTTTATGGTGCCACAGACCTGGAAACTGCAGTGATGCCCACCAGTTGGAGAATGACTGAACAAGTTGTGGTATATGATCATGATGAAATACCACTGTGCTATAAGAGATGATTAGCAGGTTGATTTTAGAAAAAAACACGAATAGACTTGCATGAAATAATGAAGCAGAACTGAGAAAACATTGCATATGCAGTAACAGCAATACTGTTTTAAAGAACAACTTTGAGTGACTAAGTCATTTTGACTATTATAAATATCCAAATACCAAATTAACTACAAAGAACATATTAAAGAAGATGGTAAGTGCATCCAGAGAAAGAACCTACAAATAGAAATATGTATAGTATGGTTTTACATATATGTGTGTGTGTGTTTGTGAGTGTGTGTGTTTGAGTGTGTGTATATGTGTGTATATATATGTATGTATATTTATACACATATATACACATATACATACATATTTGTGTGCAATGATAGCCATCTCTAGGGCAGAGGGAGGGTGAAAGGAGAGAAGAAAAAAAAGAAATTCACATGATAAATTTATTATATACTTAAAAGGAATAGCAAGTTGTAAGTAATAGATTTGCAGTTCCATGTGTTTGCCTCCCCCATTAGACTGTGATCTCCTTGAAATCAGTCTTTTGCCTTTTTTTATGTTCCCAGGATTTAGCACAGTATCTGACACATAGTAGGTGATTAATAAATGCTTTTTGAGTGACTGTCTTTCTTGACTTTAAAGACCTTAATAAAGTCTCACATTCTGCAAGAAGCCTTTCCAGGGTCCCCCTTAATGTCAGTGCCTTCCTTCTATAATCTTGCTTTTCATAATTGGTAGATATGAATGGTGGAAGAGACATCGTGGGGCAAGTAGTATTCCAACTCCCCACCTTGACCAATCAGACGCAGAGAATGAATGAAAGTGCAGTTAGTACTGGAAAGAAAGACTGTGTCATGAAGAAGGAGCCAGGTCTCAGTGAAGAATGGGAAAAGAAAAGATTTAAGAGAAGAACAAGTTTGTGGCCTAAAAAAACATGCATTCCAGATATCACAGTAGAATGGGTGCATAGTTTTAGAGTCAGGAATTGGGAGGTGGGGAGGGGTTTTAGAACTTGAAGGGAATGAAAATAAGGGATTGGGCAGTGGGGTAGGAGAACAAGATTTGAAAGATGAAGACTAATGGTTCAGAATTCCTGGAATGGGGAGGGGAATGTTTGCTAAGCATTGAGGAATGAGTTCAGACAATTTTTCATTATCCTATGCAGCACAGATGAGTGGACAAGTTCTGGGATCTGAAGGAATGGTGTTACTCCCTTTCCTCCAGGCAGAATACCATGCTGGTGACATGACGGAATGGACTTGCTCCTCTTTCCAGGAAAGGAAGAGTCTGGTGATTAATACAATGGTATGTCTCCTCTTCCCAAGGAAGCAGGAGACCAGTCAGAAAACCTAGTACAATGGAATGGTATTTCTCAAGAGGGAAATCATAGTATTATAGATTTAAAGCTGAAAGGCACATTAAAGATCATTGAATCCAACCCTCTAATCTTGTTTGTTTGGTTTTTTATAATGCACTGTATTTTTCTACTTTCTAAATTTATTTTTTCATTTAACAATATCTCCCTCCCACCTACCCTCTCATTGAAAAAAAGAAAAACAAAACCCTTGTAACAACTATGCATAACAAATAAGCAAAACAAATTTCAACATTGGCCGTGTCCAAAATACATACATTTCATTATGTACCTGAATCTATCACTTTTCTGTCAGGAGCTGAAACTCCCTCATTTTACAGATGAAAAAAACTGAGTCAAAATTGACTAATAATTAGCTTAGGGTCACATAGCTAGTATTTGAGGCAGAGTTTAAACTCAAGTCTTCCTGAATCTAAAAATTGAATTTTTTATCCAATACACCACTATCTCAGAAGAAAATGTCTAGAAGGGAAGAATGGTCAACAGTATCATATACTGAAAAGAAAAATGAAGATAGGGAAGGGGTGGTGAGGGGAGGAGAAGCCATTAGATGTTTTCATTGCAGTCATTGGTGTTCTTTGCAAGAAGATCTTCAGAAGAGTGATAGGGAAGAAAGACTGGGTGATAACAAAATGGAGGCATGATTTTTTCAGATATATAAGTGTAAATCTAATATACACGTTTTTCAAGAATTTCATCTTTTGAATTTGAATCAAAGTTTCCCTTTCTCTCACTTATTAGCCATTTGACTGTGGGCAAATCACTTTGAACCTATTTCCTCATCTGTCATGTCTATGTCACTTAGCTGTTGAGAGGATCAAAAGAAGTAAAGCATGTGAAAGTGCTTTGGAGTGATAAAGCCATTATGCAAACATAAAGTGTGTCAAATATGTGTGTATGTATGTAGATACAGAGAGAGAGAAAGAGAGAGAGAGAGGTGTGTGTGTATATATATATATATATATATATATATATATATACACACACACACACACATTTGAGACCCAATTCTGCCAGAACCACTTTAAAAAATAATTTACCATTAATCTAATATCCAAATGTTTCTAGCTTAAGAAAAAAAATATCCAAAACGACAGTTTATCCTGGCTCAATTCACTTTGCCCTTGGACTTGTCTCTCTACCCCAAGATGATCTGAAATAACACTTATAGGAATCTTGAATATGGAAAAGATCATAATGTGTTAAAATATATTTCAGGGTTAATCTTCCAGAATAATAATCACTACTCAATTCCTTCTTTGAGGAATTTTTTTTTAAGAACAGAAAGGATCTCCTCTCAATCCTTTCTGAATAGAGAAGAGACAAGACATAAACAAGATAAGAGATAAGTTTGGCTATTACATTTAATCCACTTCTTTAAGAAAGGACCTTTTGGGGGGCAGCTAGGTGGTGCAGTGGATAGAGCACTGCCCTGAAGTCAGACCTGAGTTCAAATCCAGCCTCAGACCAAACACTTGACACTTACTAGCTGTGTGACCCTGGGCAAGTCACTTAACCCCAATTGCCTTTAAAAAAAAAAAGAGAGAGAAGAAAGGACCATTTGTCCTTAACTTATTACCCACTTTTCTAAGAGGGAAAAAGGAAAAAAATTTTTTGTTGTTATTGTTCTGTCATATCTGACTCTTGGTGACTCCATTAGGGTTTTTCTCAGCAAAGGTACTGGAGTAGTGTGCCATTTCCTTCTCCAGCTGATTTTACAGATGAGGAAACTAAGGTGAACAGGGTTAAGTTATTGTGCAGGGTTATATAGCTAGTGTCTGAGGCCAGATTTGAACTCAGGTCTTCCTGACTCCAGGCCTGTACCACATGGCTGCCCAAAAAGTTTTTAGATCAGAGAAATATTTATTGATTGATATTTCTATTTGTACTAGAAACTAGAAAGGACTTTTAGTGCGCTCTCATAGATTTTATTAAAGAATACCATTTTAAAGTTCAAAGATAGGGACCTCAGCTATGAACTCTAATTCAATTCAAAGATTAGTTCTTAAGCATCTACTGTAAGCAAGATACTACTGTGCTAAACACTAAGCAGTGTATAGCACAGTAGTATCTTGCTCACAGTAGGTGCTTAAGAACTAGGCAGTATATAAGGTCCTCAATTAATAGTTAACATCTTAAGTGGGAATAGCTACCAGCAGGCTAGGTACTGTTGTAGAGCAAAGGATAAATTCCTGGAGGAAAGGATAGCAAGTAGTACCACTAACAGGGAAAAAAGGGACTCTAAAAAGCAGAGGAAATGGGAAGGCACCAAAGACAAATTTGTCTTGGGGCTGCTTTTCTTCCAAAGGCTCTCTTAGCATTATCTCCACTTTGCTTGCTGCCACCACTACTGAAGACTGATCATTCTCCTACTGAAATTCAATTCAAAATCAACACATCAGGTTCTTTGTGTCTTGTTCCTTGTAAAGTAAAATACTTCCCCCTTCCTTTTCCTGATCACTTTTACCTTTTCACTCAGGGACCACAGCTACTTTTTCATTTGGGACTCCAGTCAGGAGACTCCTCAAAGATTTCCTCCATGATCTACCAGGTCAGTATGTGTTTCTTCCATGCCCCTCAAATGCTGAGAAACAAATGCCACTCCTTTGTCTCCTTCCACAGAAAGACACCCTTTAGAGAAGCATCCTCCCTCCTTTTGACCATTATTCTTTCCCCTTCTCTTTGTTCTTCCCTAAGCTTGTCTCTTATGTTCTTTTATCCAGTACTTTGTTCTTTTATTCGGTTGTGTCTGACTCTTCATGACCACATTTGGTGTACTCATCTTGTTTCTTTCATTTTGTCCACCAGCTTTTCTTCCAATATCACCCTCTTTGCCACTAGTGACATTTGATTGTCATCAATTTTCAGAGTGATTTTTTTCAAATATCTTCATTTTATAAACTCCCTCCCTTGTGTAACTCATTCTTTCTTCCCCAAAAAAACTTCTGCAAATCTACTGGGGTTTTGTTTGGATTTAGGGTGGTTTGACATGTGTGATGTTTGACTTAATGAGAGCATTGTTGAGGCTGTGAACTAAGAAAGCCCATTACAGGGAAGGGGGGGGGTGTGGATTGGAGTCTTCAGGTATAAATTGTGGAGCAATTATAAATGAAGAGGGAAAAGAGCTATTTGGAGGACCACCCTCAAAACCACAAAAATATTTACTCTAAATGTTTTGCTTCCTCCTGCCCTGGGCTTTCTATAGAGATACCTTCCTAAATGCGTCTTCTAGGTTTCAGTCCCTGCCTGACCTGTACCTCTCTGCTGTCAGCAATGATGGTGGCTTTCCCAGTCTCCTCACAGCCAAGATATCTGATTTTCTTCTTTTTCCTCCAGTTGCCCACGCTGGACTCAGGTAAGATTTTCTTTTCCCTCTTGCTCTGTGGAGATTTCTCAAAGGAAAGAGACATCTCCACATTGGCTTCCAGTTTAAGTATATCTCTCCAAAGAGAAAAGTTAGAGTCCAAATGCCTCAGGGACTTCCAAGGAATAATATGTGGTGATTTATCAATGTATTATGTATCTCATCCCTCATACTTCCATTCTGAGTTCTATAATCTCTCTTTGTTGAACAGCTCAGTTCGATGTGATTGGGCCTGTTAAACCCATCTTGGTCATGGTTGGAGAAGACGTTGACTTACCCTGTCACCTCTCACCTAATATAAGTGCTGAGAGTATGGAGGTGAGGTGGTATAGAAATAAAATCTCTCCAGCTGTGTATGTGTATCAGAAAGAAAAGGATCAAGAAGGAGAGCAAATTAAGGAGTATCAAGGGAGAACAACATTTGTTCGAGACAATATCACTGAGGGGAATGTGGCTGTGACAATCCACAATGTCAGAGCTTCTGATGATGGACAATATCGCTGCTTTTTCAAAGATGACCAAATGTATGAAGAAGCTGTCATAGAGCTGAAGGTGGCAAGTGAGTCATTTCATTTTGTTCAATGACCTTTCCCCAGAGGGACCTGAAGGGAATCCTTTTCATTTCCAAGGTTTAATCTGATTGTTAATTCTCAGATTTATAGACAGAATTACCTTTCAGTTCCAGAACATGTCACAATATTTCCTGCTCAAAAGTTAACCTGAATATCAAGCAGAGAAAATCTGGGAAAGAGAGCAGAGCAAGAATAAGAGAGTCCAATGGGATAGGAAGGTTGAGAAGGTCTTTAATCTCACCCCATTACTTCTCAGTGAGAGAAAATTGCTCTGAAAATATTGTTCAAATAAGGCTCAATGTTTGTTTCATTAGTTTGTGTTTTCTGGCTCCAACAAAATCTGTGTCCAGGAACATGCATATGTCAAGTGAACCATGAAATGATGCAACTAATGTCAGGACTGAAGTAATGGGATGGTAATATAATGTAGAGAAGATATGGATTAGGGAGAAATGAAAGCACAAACCAGTAACACATTCCCCAGACCACAACTCAAAACTCAGAATGGAGGGAGGGTGTCATGAAGCCTGTTTAAAACTCTGCCTTTTTTCTTTTTCTTCAAAATGATGTGTATAAGGACCCTTTTGTAAAATTTGCAGGTTGTAAATAAAACAATAACCATAAAAATAAAACTTTAAAAATCACTATTATCTATTGCTAAGTAACGTGATAGATAGAACACCAGGCCTAGAGTCAGAAAGACCTAAGTTTAAATCTGGCCTCATACACTTACTGGCTGTATTACTCTAGGCTGCATTACTCTTTATTACCTCTTCTACCTTAGTTTCCTCAACTGTAAAATGGGGATAATAATAACATTTACCTCTCGGGGCTGTTGTAAGAATAACATGAGATAATATTTATAAAGCACTTTTAAAAGTGCTTGGCACATAGCAGGCCCTTAATAAATCCTTATTCCCTCCCCTTTTTATCTTCAAAAGTAAATTATTATTGTTTTATCAATGGACACAGAAAATGATTAATTTTTTTAACCATAAAAATACTCTAAGTAGCTTTTTTATTCTTTATCCTCTTGGGCCATGTGGGAGAAAATATGTAAGTCTAGGATCTAGCCTGTACTTTTCTAGCTAATCTGAAGTATTTTAAGGTCAAATTAAAGGTCTTTTCTTGATTAGCTTGGTGGAAAAAGAAGTTTACTGGGTTGGTTCATGCATCAAGGCTGCAAGAAATAATGAGCCCAAAGATTTTTCTGATGCTGAGCTAGAGAAGGAGGACAAACCATCAGGTGTGTCTTTTGGTTGCAAGGTAAAATTCAGAGTGAAGCGATGAAACAAGGCATCACTCTGTGTTTATTAAGCACCTATTACATGCCAGGCACTGTGCTAAATGTTAGGAATAAAAAAAAAAAAAAAGCAAAAATAATCCCTGTTCTCAAGGAACTCACAGTCTAAGGGGGTACACAACATGCAAACACTTCCATACAAACAGGATATATACAAGGCAAATTGGAAATCAATCATTAAACATTTATTAAGCCCCTAGTACATGCCAGGCACTGTGCTAAGTGCTGGGGATACCAAAAGAGGCGAGATAGTTCCTGCCCTCAAGAAGTTTACAATCTAATGGGGGAGATAGCATGTGAACAAACATATACAAATATATCCTATTTATCCTGCATATATTACATACAGGATAAATAGGAAATAATTAACAGAGGGAACGCACTAGAATTATGAAGCATTGAGAAAGACTTCCTATAAAAGATGGGATTTTAGTTGGGATCTAAAGTAAGTCAGGGAAGTCAATAGGCAGAAATTGAGGAGGGAGAGCATTCCAGGCATAGGAGACAGTCAGAGAAAATGCCTACAGGCAAGAGATGGAGTATTCTTGAAACTGCCAGGAGGCCAGTGTCACTGGTTTGAAGAGTATAAGGTAGGGAGTATGGTATAAAAAGATTGGAAATGTAAGAGTTGGGCTAGGTTTTGAAGGGCTTTGAATGCCAGACAGAGCATTTGCATTTGTTCCTGGAGGTGATAGGGAGCTGCTGGAGTTTTTGTGTAGGGGCGTGAAGTGATCAGACTCGTGCTTTAGGAAAATCACTTTGCTGAATGAATGGATGATGGATTGGAAGTAAAGACTTAAGGCAGGCAGATCCACCAGCAGGCTAGTGAGATAGTCCAGTTGTGAGATAATGAAAACCTGCACTAGGGTGGTGGTAGTGTTAAAGGAGAGAAGGGGGCATATTTGGGAAATGTTGCAGAGGTGAAGTAGACAGACTTTGGTAACAAATTGGATGGGGACATGGGATGAGAGATAGTAAAAAATCTAGGATGACTCCTAGGTTGTGAGCCTGAGGGATGGGAGAAAGGTGTTGCCCTTTACAGTGAGAGGGGAGGTAGGAGGTGGGGAAGGTTTTGGGGGAAAAGATAATAAGTTCTGGTTTTGGATATGTTTAGTTTAAGATGTCTACTGGACATCCAGTCTAAGATATCTGAAAGGCAATTCGAGACGCAAGATTGGAGGTAAACAGAGAGGCTGGGGCTCAAGATAGGTAGGTTTGAGATTCATAAACATAGAGATGATAATTAAATTCATGAGAGCTGATGAGATCACTAAGTGAAATAATGTAGAGGGAAAAGGGCAGAACCCTAAGGGATATCTATGATTAGAGGGCATGATCTGGGTGAGGATTCAGTAAAGGAGACTAAGAAAGAGCAGTCAGATAAGTAGGAGGAGAACTAGAAGAGAGTGGTGTTCCAAAAGCCTAGAGAAAAGACTTTTGAAGAGGAGATGGTGATCCACAAGGTCAAAGGCTGCAGAAAGGTTAAGGAGAAGGAGGATTTTTTTAATGGCCATTGGATTTGACTGGTAAGAGATCACTGGTGGCTTTGGAGAGAGTAGTTTCAGTGTAATGATAAGGGCAGGAGCTGGATTGTAAGGGGTTAAGAAAAGAGTGAAGGGAGAAAAATTGGAGACATCTATTGCAGATGACCTTGTCAAGGAGTTTAGTTACATAGGACAATAATTAGTGGAGATGGAAGGATCAAGAGATGGTTTTTTCAGGATGGGGGAGACATGGACATATTTGTAGGAAGTAGAGAGTGAGCCAGTAGAAAAGGAAGAGATTAAAATAAATATAAATATGTATTTGCATAAATATAAATATATAAATAAAAATAATGATATGGTGGAGATGACAGAGGAAACAATCTGTTGAAGATGACAGAATGGAATGGGACTATTTGAACAGGTAGAGATGCTAGCCTTGGTAAGGAATAAGGCTAATTCATCATCTGAGATAGGGGTGAAGGAGGAGATAGGAACAGAAGACATCTGAGTACTAGGTGATTAGGAAGAAGGGGGAAGAGAGAATTCAATGTGATGCCTCAATTTTTTTCTGCAAAATATGAGGCAAGGATCTCAGCTGAGAGGGTGGGGCATATGGGAAGTTATGGGAGGTTTGAAGAGGAATGAAAAGGTTTGGAAGAATCACTGCGAAAAGTGCAATACTGAATTGATAAGGGAGATATTGTAATATTTGGGCAACTGGAGGTCACAGTACAGATGAAAAGTAGCATTTTGTAATGGAAGGCAGAGGGAGAGGTGAAAAGTCAATAGATTATGGTCAGATGAGAGGATTTGGGAACTCATGGGGCATTTACAGCTTATACACCAACATCAGTTGGACAAAAAGGAGGAAGCATGGAGGGAGTAAATTTGTAGATGATGACAAAAGCAAAAGTATAACCATCTTTGTGAGTGGCTGAAGCGGGAAGTGAGTAGGTTGAAGAAATGAATGATAAGGAAGGTTAAGGGGAACTGGAAAAGGCTTCTTGCAGAAAATGGAATTTTAGCTGAGACTTGAAGGAAGGTGGAGATGAGGAAAGAGAGAATTCTGTGGATAGAGGCTAGCCATTGAAAACACTGGTGAGAAAAGTACTAAAGTGTATCTTGGGTATTATTTCTTTTTGAATTGCTTTGAAATCCACTTTAAAATGTAGCATGAATTTAATTCACCACAAAAAACCTACTCTGTTACCTCATCATGGCAGGAAACTGATTCTGGATTCTTAAAGGCTTTGCTAGAAGAAGACATGTTTTGCAAGTTCTACCATGTTTATAAAGGGTTCAAGTATAATGCTGAGAATAGATTAAATTTATTTCCAAATACCAGCCCAGCTAATCATAGAATCAGACATCACAAGTAGATTGGCCACATAGTAATGAAATAATTTGACTGCAGCAATCCATGAAACAGGAAAAATAAAAAATGCCCATAAGTCCTGCATGTCTCCCTCTACTTCTGCAGGAAGTAGTGGCAGGATAGTGGGAAAGGGGGCAGAGAGTATCTGTTAAAGACTGTCTGTAAGAATCACAATTTTTAGATTATAAACAAACCTTAACATGATCATTGGTACTTAATGTGAGATTCTTATCTAAAAATCAACCAGTAGGTTAGTGATAGAGTGGCTGAATCAGAACAATCTCAATAACCTTGCCTTAAACAAAACCAGAAGAAAGAAGGGAGTTGCAACTAAATTGAAAGATGTCTCACAAGTACTCCTGGGGAAGTTAAAGAAAGGTATTGGCAGAGTAAGTTTTATCGTCCTAAAGCTACAAGAAATATTATTTCATGAGGCATTTTGCAGCTTATACACCAACATCAGTTGGACAAAATGGTAGCTAAATTCTACATGAAATTTAATAAGACCTGGGAGAAAATTTTTATAGCTTCTCAGATAAAGGTTTCATATATCAAATATATAAAGCACTTGGTCAAATTTATAAGAATATGAGTCATTCCCCAATTGATAAATGGCCAAAGGATATGAACAGGTAGATTTTCAATGAAGAAAATAAAACTACAAATAAGTATATAAAAATGTTATAGATTATATCACTATAGATTAGAGAAATGCAAATTAAAACAACTTTGAGGTATCATCTTACACCTATCAGATTGGCTAAAATGATAGAAGGGGAAGGTGACAAATGTTGGAGGGGATGTGGAAAAATCAGGACACTAATTCACTGTTGGTGGAATTGTGAACTAATCCAATCATTTTGGAGAGTAATCTGGAATTATACCCAAAGAATTATAAAACTGTGTATACTCTTTGACCCAGCAATACCACTATTAGGTCTGTTTCCCAAGGGGATTAGGGAAAAAGGAAAAGAACCTATATGTTCTAAAATATTTATGGCAACTCTATCTGTGGTGGCAAAGAACTAGAAATTGTAGGGATGCCTATCAATTAAGGAATGGCTAAACAAATTGTGGTATATGACTGTGATGGAATACTATCGTGCTATAAGAAATGATGAGCAGGTTAATTTTAGAAGAAGAAACATGGAAAGACTTGCATGAAATAATGAAAAGTGAAATGAGCAGAACAAAGAGAACATTGTACATAGTAACAGCGTTATTGTTCTAAGAATAACTTTAAACAACTAAGTCATTTTGAGTATTATAAATACTCAGGTCAACTACAAAAGACCTATGAAGAGAGATGCTATCCACATGCAGAGGAAGAACTGATAAATAGAAGTATGTACAGTATGATTTTACATATATGCATACATATGTGTGTATGCATATATATATATATATATACACACATATTTATTTATTTATATATTAGTGTCTAATGGTAGCCTTCTCCAGAGTGGGATGGGGAGAGAGAGAGAAAAAGAGTTCAGACTCTGGGCAAGTCACTTAACCTCAATTGCCTCATCAAAAAATAAAAAGTCCACAGCAAAGAAAAGAAAACGTAGAAGGAAGCACAAAAAAGCAGTGTAACTTTGAAAACAATGTCTAGTATGTATTACATAATTTTTTAAGTGAACAGTGTAAAATGAGAGGAAAAAGATATTTAATAATGCCTTCCAAGTTAAATCAATATATATCTGATATATGCAAAGAAAAAGTGGGAACAAGTGAGGATAGGGAGAAATATATATGGAAATACAGTTCAAGAGAAAGAAATTATAGGATAAAAACATATATTATACAAGGCCTCATGCCTCTTTATCATGCACACCATCTTCAAAACAAAGAAGTAGTAATTGTTAGGTATGGTGAACATCAAACAATATCACAAGGAATGAAACTATATTTTAATAGACAGGAAAAGATTTATTATGACCATGGGAATTATCACTGTTCATGCACAGTTCATCAACCTTTCAGTTATCAGACAAATCAGAATTTACAATAAACAAGAAGCAATAAAAGTAATGAGAAAAAGAAATAACTGAAAATTAATAATATTTAGCCTTAAATTATTTAAACAATCTATAGAAAATAAAAAATGAGAAATGGAAAACAAAATTTACACCAATACCAACCATAATAATTTTATTCTAAAGTTACCAACCAAAATTAATTGCTATAACAAGAAGACCAAAAGAAGAACAGAAAGCCCCTTAGTTGGGAAATATTTTACCTGCTTGCCAAATAGAGAGATGGTTGACAAAGGCAACACCAGGTTAGAATGTACGTTTGTCTATTAAATCTTACAAAGAAGACTAATGGATGATTTATGAGCAGTATTGTCTCAAAAAAATTGAGAGAAGTAGTGGAGGCTAGGGGTGGGAGGGAGACAAACCCAATTTAAAGAAAGTGAGCAAGATACCTAACCAATCAAAGTCAATCCAAGCACTTTCAAGGATAAAAACCTAGAGAGGAAGACAAACTGTCTTCTCCATCAAGGGTAGCAGGACCACCACACTGGTATCCTAACATCCTAGTCCCTGAGGGGTTTACAGAAGAAACAGAAATAGCGAAAAGAACAAAGATGGGAAGAGCACCCAGACTGCCTTAAGTACATAGAGAGGGTATCTCTATCAAAAGCAGTACAATTTTGTAGGTAGAAGAGGACTTTTTCAAAAGGAGAAAAAGATACTAAAAGTGTGAAAAACAATCTTAGAATGTGATACATATAGAGATATATATGTATTTATTTGAGAAAACATCAACTACCAACTTACATGCTTACCCTCCCAGCTAAACAAAATCTTTATAAGGGTCATCTATACATAAATTCAACGAGGACAGAACAACCAGGATTTACAAATGATATTCAGCAATGGACCACATCTTCACCATCTAAAATTGATTAAAAGATGCATAAAATATAAGATCCCATGGTGCTTATTATTTATTGACTACAAAAACAGCATTCAACTTAGTAGGAAAAATATGCTCCCTTTATAGGTTCTTTTACAACAAGGGATGTTCCATCCATATATCAAGACCAAGATTTCTTGGAACAACAGATAACTTTGTTCAACTATTGTCATATAATAAACATAAGTTGAGGAATGAAACAGGGAAATTTTTGCTCACCAAAAATATTCATCACTTGCATAGAGGAGATCCAGAATAGAATCTAGGTTGAGGAAGGATTCCATATGGATGGAAAGGTCCTCCACATGCTCCAGTTTGTGGACAACATTGTATTGATTGCATAAAGCTCCAGAACACTGCAAAGCCTCCTGGAAGAGATCTGTAATGTTCAAAGGAGGTTGTACAATCTATTCACACAGGAAAAACCAAACGCATGATGAATTTTTAGCACCCAGATTTCAAAATACATCTGAATGAACATCTACTGGTATCTGGGACAAACAATAGAGATGGACAATGAGATGGACCCAGAGTTAAAAAGACAGAGGAGCTGGATTGTTTTGGGGAAATTGTAAAACACTTTTACTAGTCCCAAGCTTCCCATAACACAAAAGGCACATCTTTTCGATGTAGATTACACCAATGTTACTATATGGTAGTGAGACCTGGAAGACTTTGAAGAACAGGATTGCACAGAGAGAAAGGGAAAGGCACATGGTAGGTGTGAACAATCTGTGGCATATTAAGAAATCTGAAGAACAGAAGCAATTAATGTCAACAAAGGATTGTATCACAGAAAGGGAAGATGGACTGGTCACAGAGCAAGAGCAAGGTTTACAGGTGGATGACCAGAGGGCTCCACTGACACCCCAAAAATATCAGATGAGAAGATTTCAATTACTTTAGGTAGATCTCCCATGGTGAACTTTTGGGAAAGGACATGAACAAGAGTCCCACAGGATGGCAAGCATGCATCAATCTGGATCTGCATCATTGGAAAGAACTCCCAAATTGATGAGATCATAGATCCATTTGAATATTTGACTATTAAGGAATCTGGATATTATGTGCAGGAAGATTATTTCTATTTCCCAGGATGCCCTGGGAGGGAGGCAGATGTCACTTCATGAGACCTGTGGTGGACAAATGACAAGCTCCATTTGCTTGTGAGTCAGTCAATAGATATTTACTAAGCACCTACTTTATGCCAGGCACTGTGCTAAGCACTGAGGATACACAGAGAGGTAAAAGACAGTCCCTGCTCTTGACAAGCTCACAATCTAAAAGGGGAGATGACATGCAAATAGTTATGTACAAACAAGGTATGTACAGGATACAACAACAAATAATCAACTGAAGGAAGATACTAGAATTAAGAAAGATGGGGAAAAGCTTTCTGTAGATGGCACAATTTTAGCTAGGACTTGAAGGAAGAAGCTAAGGAAGTCAAGAGGCAGAGATGAGGAGAGAAAGCATTCTGTGCACAGAGAACAGCCAATAAAAATGATCAGAATCAGGAAAGTGTCATGTTCAAAGAACAGTGAGGAAGCCATTGTCACAGTATTGAAGGAATAGAAAGATGGAAGGAGGTGTAAAAAGACTGGAAAGATTGGGGAGGGGCAGGTTATGAAGAGCTTTGAACTCAAAATAAAAGATTTTGTATTTGAACCTAGAGGTGATAGGGAGCCACAGGAGTTTATTGCATTAGGAGGCAGGTAAGGTGGTTGCATGGTCAGACCTGTGCTTCAGGAAAATCACTTTGACAACTGAGTAGAGAACTGATTTGAGTTGGAAGAGACTTGTGGCAGGTAGACCAAACAGCCCCCTATTGCAACAGTCTAGGTATATATGAGAGATATTACAAGGTCAAGATTGACAGAACTTGGCATTGGATTAGGACTGAATATGGGGGAGTGAGAGATAGTCAAGGATGACACCTAGCTTTCAAGCCTGGGTACCTGGGATAATGGTAGTATACTTGACAATAATAAGGAAGTCAGAAGGAGAGATTGGGGATAAATATAATTAGTTTAGTTTCAGATATGCTGAGTTTAAGATATCTATGGGATATCTAGTTTAAGAAGTCTATCAGGCATTTAGAGATTTGGGTCTGGGGATTAGGAGAGAGATTAGAGTGAAAATGCAGATTTTAAAATTATCAGCATAGAGATTATAATTGAATCCATGGGAGCTAATGAGATCACCAAGTGAAATACTATAGAAAAAGAAGTGAACTCAGGACAAAACTTTGTGGGACATTTTTTCAGATTTTCTCTTCCTAGGTTTCTACCTTTCTATTCCATTTCAAGGATTTCTTCCTTTATCTTCTACTTGGTTGTTCTATTTCAGTTCTGCTCTGTGGAGAAGAAGAGAAAGAACCTCTGTGACATTTTAGGTTTGCAGATTCAATCTTTGAGAGGTTTAGTCAATTTAAAATGTAATTCTACTACTGAAGTATGCTATCGTGACTTGATGATTCCTCAGCTGTGTGATCAAAACTAAAAGGAGAAAGAAATAATATTCTTTTCTAAAAACCCTATCCATCCATTCTTCAAGGACCAGATCAAATCTTGTTGCCACTTTGAAGTGTTACCTGACTGTTCCCACCCACATTAATTTCTTTCTATCTCTGACCTCTAATGTATTTATGGTCAGCATCAACTCAGTTTAGCATTTAGTTATTCTCTGGTTGTTTCATGTATATTATACTTTTTTCCCCCAACTCATCTCTAAGGCCAGAGACTTTGCCTTAAATATTTCTTATATCTTACATAGCACTGGACTAGTAGGCACTTAATAGCAGTTTGATTGATTCTCCACTGTAACCCCAGTACCAGACCACTAGAAATAAGAAGAGAACAATAAATGAAAGAGGGAGCACTTTTCATCCCTTGAAGTACTAACAGCCTAAGGTAGACTACAGTGATAAGGGGTAGGAGTAATGAATGGGTTAGAATATTAGGAGTTGGCCAAAGACCCATAGCAACCGGTATACTAGCACAAAAATCACTTGAGAAAAGGAAGTCTACTCAATTCCCTAGAGCAGTATCATGTATGTGTATGTATATGTACATGAATGTGTACATATGTGGGTATATTTGTGGGTATACTATATGTATGGGTATGTATGTATTTATACATATATGTATTTATGGCTACCATATATCACTAGACTTGCAACTCTAAGGGTTCCCTTCCTCTCTTTCACCCCTCATCCCCAATGGATCTACTAAAGGATTCAGAAGAATTTTTCTCTCTCCAGGTCTAGGCTCTGATCCTCACATTCATATGGAAGCTTATGGAGATGAAGGCATCCTCCTAGAATGCACGTCAGTTGGATGGTACCCAGTGCCCCAGGTGCTATGGAAAGATCTAAAGGGAGAGATATTACCACTTTTGTCAGTGTCCCAGACACTTAATGGAGATGGCCTGATTACTGTAGAAGCCTCTGTGGTTATCAGAGACCATTCTGTGGGGAGTGCATCCTGCTCCATTCAAAACCCCCTCCTCAATCTGGAGAAGGTGGTAAGGATTTCCATACCAGGTTAGTTCTTCCCTAAGCTCGATTTATGCTGAGTTGCTAAAAACAAAATTCTTTAACTAGAAACCACCACTTGTGAGCCATTCCTGACTAAAGAAATGGAAACTTAGCCTTCCCTTTACTCCACTGCAGAGTTAGCAGTCTTGAGTGAAGTGCACAAAATTATTCATAAAGTAGATAAAGAATCCAATTATGCTCAGATTAGGAAATCATTATAAATCATTATAAATCTTTATAAAATAGAGATCTTTTGGTATTGGACACCACTTTCCAAAGACAAACCTCTTTCTAGTGAGACTCTTCTTTACATAGGTATCATTCACCTTGGCCACCTACGATGTTTGCTGTTACTTTGCTCTCACGTTTGGTTCAAGCTAGATGCATCCCTATGCTCTTTTGACCACAAAGGGAGAAGATATTCTTACTACTTCTGTACAGCCTGTCTGTGGTTCATGCAAAAGAGAATTCCAGGCCTAATTCACCACTCTCTTAGGATTGTACAGCTCTTCTGGTCATCCAACTTCCATAAAATGTCTCCTATACTTCTCTTCTTTTTGCTTTCTAAGTCCTGTGACTTCTATGCCCTAATTTCATAAAATTACAGAATCAGAGCTAGAAGGGACTTCAGAGGCCATCTAATGGAACCTATACCTGAAGATAGAAACTCTCTACAACATATGCCACAAATGATTAGATAGCCTTTGCTTGGAGACCTCTAACAAGGAAGAACCTACTACTTCCCAAGGAATTCTATTCCACTTTTGAATAGCTCTAATTATTAGGAAATGTCTCAAGTCTTAATTTTCCTTTTTGTAACTACTACACTTTGATTCTTCCCTCTGGTGACAAGCAGAACCAATTCAATTCTTTTTCTACTTAATATCACTTAACAACTACTATTTCCCCCAAAACTTTCTGTTCTCTAGAAAATGAGCATCCTAAGTTCTTCGACTCGATCTTCATATGACATGATTTCAAGGCCACCAAGATTATCTTTATTACCCTCCTCTGGAAATTCTCCAGCTTATCAATACTCTTCCTGAAACGTGGCACACCAAAATAAACACAATACTTGAGATGTGATAAGACTGGGATAGAGAAATGAATCATTATCATCTCCTTATTCTTTGTCACTAGGCCTTTTATTGTAAAACAAAATTAGCTTGAAAAAATATTGTTCCCTTGGTCCTCCATTCCCACTTCAGACAGGCTCCCTTTGGCACCAAAGGGGACTTTAGGGAAATGAAGCTATTGACCCCTGTGTGATTGACTATCTGGAGTTTTGTTTTAGTTTTGTTGGCTGTTCCTTTTTTTTTCTCAGCCAGAGAAAACCTCAGTAGACTAATTGTTTTGCTTTGGGGCAGGGCACTTTATTGCCCTGCCTTCTATGTCTGGTGAATTTGAGTATGAACATTAATATGAAAATGAATGCAGAAAAATATGCATGTAAAACTCAGTATGCTTGGCTTCTAAAACCAAAAGAACTTTTTCAAAAGGAGGCCTGTTATTACCATCTGGCACTGTCATGAGTTTTCCAAAAACAGGTAGAGACCCAGTTTTACAGTTCTTCAGAGGTTCTATGTCACTTCCTACACACATGTCCTGGAAAGACAGTAAACAAGTCTTGTTATCAGGTCAAGAAATGTCGACCATCACTATTCATCCTCTTACTCTTGACCTTTTCTTAATGAAAATGCTCTAACAGCACCTGTGAAGTCACATTATCATTTCTTGGAGAGCAAGTTGCTGCTTCCTCAGAAAAACTCTTCAGAAAGAGCTTCAAATCTATTATTTAGCCTCAAGTGATTGATATTATTTCTCAGTCTACTCAGTATCACATTTTTCCACTCTCCAACACGATGAGAGTCAGAATTTCTCCCTGCCTTTTTTTCTTCTTTCTTTTTCATGTTATATAGATCTTCCATTTTAAAGGAAAATTTCATTCTTTCTGATAAATTGGAAAGTGAAGTATCATTCTTCATATCTTTTTGCCTTCTCTTTTAGGAGAGAGACCAGCTCCCATTAGAGTATAAATAAAAGTTACTTGGTAATGGAACAAATATAAGCATCACATTATCTATCCAGTTCTCTGTAAAATTCTTCCTATACTCTATATTTGCTAGAAGTAAGTTTCTCAGTTTATTATATGGACTTCCTCTAGATCTCCTCTTGAGACCTAGCATTGTTAACTGCTTCTGAGGGTTTTCATCCTTATGAGTTGTCACCCTCCCTATTGTAGCCCCCACCTGACAACCATCTCAAACCCTTCTTTGGGTCCTTTTCCCACTGAAGTCAGAAGTAGATTGATCTCTCCTTTGAGAGGACTTGGGAAGTTGAAGAAAGATGAAGAGGACTCAAGCAGAAGGAAAAGGAAGTTAATAAGAGAAAGTAAGTAGACAAATGAGTAAGACAAGGTAAGAAGTTCATAAGACAAGGGGAAAGAGGTATGATTGTCTCTGGATAGACAAAGACAGAGTAATAATGATTGTTGTCATCAGTGGACCAGAGAATTATAATGAGACACAAGTAGGAGCCTTGAAGAGAATAGAACAATACAACAGATACCTCCGAGATTAATCCTCTGCTATCTGCCCACTACTGCTACCATTATTTTGACCAACCCGTTTGTCTCAAGAAAATTGAATTTTCCTGGTGTTCCTTATATTACTTATATAACTCTCTGGAATCTTGTTTCAGGTCCCTTCTTCTCAAAGTTATCTCCTTGGATGATGTCTATGGCTGTGATTCTTACTGCTCTTGGACTTCTCACTATTGGGGCCATATTTTTCATCTGGAAACTACATAGAAACAAAAACAAAGAAAAAGATAATAAATCCTTCAACAAAGGTAGAGAAATCACAAATAGAGTAAATAAAGATTAGAAAAAGAAAGAAGGTAGAAGAAGTAACCTCAATTCACTTAATCAGATATACCAGGTAGTTTCTAAGGCCATAGGAAAGGAGTTTTAAAACCAAGGACACTTTCACTCTCATTAAGCTTATCTTATAATAACCTTACTAAGCTTACCTTGGGCACAATATGTAAGTTTTTTTGAAAGTAGATATATGGTTGGGAGTTTAATAATTAAATACATAAAACCCAATGTATCTATCTTTCCTCCTCCCACCCTGAAATATTTCCTTCAATTACCTAAATCATCAATCTTTTTGTAGTGGAAAGATCAGTGGGTTTAGAACCAAAAAATGTGGGTTTGAATATTAGCTCTTCTACTTCCTACCTGTGTGACCTGGGGAATTTACTTCATCTTTCTGGGCCCACTATTTATCTGTAAAATTTACAGATAAATAGTAGGCCCAAAAAGGAATTGGACTAGACGATGCCCAGGGTCCATTCCAGCTCTGAATGTCTGGCCATGAACCAACAGGAACTTCCTGAACATTACAAAGAAAATAAAAATGTTCCTCATTCTTGATTTGTTAATCATTCTTCAATAATAGGTATCCATAGAAAAAAGACAATCTTCCATTGTATATTTGACTATAGTTAATCATTTATTTCTCTTCCTTTTTCAGAGAAACTCCAGGAAGAGCTAAGTAAGTTTTTTTTTCCTCACTGTTCTATTTACAATTGTATTCATTTCTTCTATACCATGGAAGTGACATCTTTCTATTTCATTACAGGATGGAAAAAGGCTCAGTTGCATGCAGGTAAGTGGTCCTGGTCTCATTTCTGACTCTGGAATGCTACTTATCCCCAAGATTCTAGAGCCCTAAGATTTCTGTAGCTAATAGAGGCAATAAATACAGTCAGGAAAACCTAGGTTTGAATCCTGTCTCAGATAATTACCAACTATATGGCCCTGGACAAGTCATTTAACCTCCTTCTCACTTTCTTTAGCTAGAAAATGAGGGGATTTATCTTTCCTGGCTTTACATCTGTGATTCTATAATCTAAGATGTTGTGAACAATTTCTATGTACTTTTTGATGAAGAAGAAAGAATTGGTCAGGCAGAAATTCAGGAAGAAATAGAATGAAGTTGTAGAAAGTAACCTCTCCACAAAAAGAATCATAAGATCAGGGACACTTTCTCTTCTTGTGTTCCTACTTCCCATGGAACTGAGGAGGTTGATTCAAGTCAGATTAAGAAATGTGGCTAGATTTAGTTATTTCTAAGACAAAAGATGTGAAGCAAGACCTTTAAAACTTCCCCAAAACAATAAATTTGCCAGATATCTTTACTTAGCCTAAATAGTCCTTATTAAAGTCAACATCTTTTGGGGTGCTTTGTACTCCTCCCCCACCCAGGTAAGCTGTTGCTCTACCTCTTTGAAGAGTCAAGCCTGAGGGAAACTTTTGGGGACAGATAGAATGGGATTTCTTCTTCTTGGGGAGTCTTATAAACTTTTTATTCCCCTTCTTGGAGGACAGAGAAATGAACTCTCTAGTGCCTGCATTCACTGACCTTTGACTTTCTTTGCAGTTGATGTAACTCTGGATCCAGACACAGCTCATCCCCATCTTTTCCTGTACGAGGGTTTGAAATCCATCAGGTTGGAAGACACACGACAGAAGCTGCCTGACAAGCCAGAGAGATTTGATTCTTGGCCTTGTGTACTAGGCCGAGAAGGCTTCACCTCAGGGAAACACTACTGGGAAGTAGAAGTGGGAGATAGAACTGATTGGGCTATAGGAGCTTGTAAGGAAAATGTGATGAGGAAAGGATTTGATCCCATGACCCCTGAGAATGGGTTTTGGGCTATAGAGTTGTATGGAAACGGATATTGGGCTCTTACTCCACTCCGGACCCCCCTTCCTCTAACAGGGCCTCCTCGTCGTATAGCAGTGTTTTTGGAATATGAATCCGGACATATCTCCTTCTATGACATGACTAATGGATCACACGTCTACACTTTTCCCCAAGCTTCTTTTTCTGGGACTCTCCGGCCTTTCTTCTGCCTTTGGTCTTGTGGTAAAAAGCCCCTTACAATCTGTCCAATATTTAATGGGCCTGATGAAGTCACTGTGATTGCTAATGCCCCTGTCCCTTCTAAGGAGAGCCTAGTGACCCCCACAAGTGAAAGATCCACTCCTGGGGATGCAGATATTCCCCAAAGGTCCAATTCTAAATTATTCCCAATCCAACTCAATAATGGGGCCCTGGATCATTAGGAATCCCTCTGTCTTCCCTTCCATTTTCACTCTTCCTCTCTAAGGTCTATAGCTGCCTACATTACCTGGCTTATCTGTTGCTACCCATGGGGCAGTGAAGAGACTTGGGGAAACTAAATATTGCTTATTCCACAAAGGGTTCCCTAGATAGGGAGAGGAACTTAAAGGGGGCAAAACTTAAAATCATTTTTGTAGTCATAGTTAGGGTGAGGATCTTTCTAAACTATTGCTGCTGTATCAGCTGGGTGTTGATAAAGGAGAGTTGAGGGAATGGGTCAGGTAAGACTACTTAAGAGACATAAAGCAGAGTCTTCTTAGTTATATGAATAGGGGAGCTGTGAAGGACCAGGACTTAAAAGAGCAAAGAGAACAAATGATACTTAGGGAGTGCTAGAAAAAGGAAGGTCACAAATTAACAGGTTGAGTTCAAAGAGATATGTTTGGAGCAAGAGTAAGAAAACTGAAAAGGACATAAAGACAGATGAAGAAAGAAATATGCAGTGAAAGCTGTGACGGGGAAGAAGAGCCACCCTCAGTGGCAACATCATCAGTAATTTCCTTCCTTTGAGATTTCCTAGTCCCCCAACCTCTCCCCACCAGGACTGATTGTACCATACTACTTTCTTAATAACATCTACCTCTGAAGCTCCAGGGAGAGAGGGGAGGAAAGAAAAGGAAAGATGAGAGGGAGGGGAGGAAGGAAGGAAGGAAGGAAGGAAGGAAGGAAGGAAGGAAGGAAGGAAGGAAGGAACGAAGGAAGGAAGGAGAGAAAGAAGGAGAGAAAGAAAAAGAGAGAGAACTAATTAGCTCATCTGAAATAGTCCCTGCAAGTTGATTTCAATCCCAGACCCAAACCCTTGCCTCTCCTTAATATTGTCTTCTTGCTACGTAGTTTAATCTAATCTCATTTCATTCCTATCCAACAAACTCTGCTCCATCAAGCCTGTTTCACCTGCAGTTCCAGTAAGGATCATTGAATCTTTATTCTGTTTTACACTGACATAATTTTTACCTCAACTCAATTACGTCTGATCCCTCCCCACACACAACAAATCTTTAGGGATTTTTTTAACCTGTTCCCCATTCCCATCTATTCTCTCAAATCATCTTCATCCTTTCTCTATTTCCCTAAATAATTTGACCCCTTATTTTATTTCTCTCTCAGACAATATATATTTCCTTCTTTAGTACAATTCCTTCTCAATGCTTAAGTGTTTCAGGTCCTCAGGAATAGATTAATTTACAATTTCCTTGAATAAGTCCCCATGGGTTCTTCTTTTTCATACATATGTATCCTTTATCTCTCAATGTACTTTAATTTCCTCAAGAGAAAGGGCCACAATTTCCATTTCTCTTTTATCTTCCATATCTTTTAGCCCAGACCTTTGCTTATTGTTGGCATTCAATAAATAATCCTGACTATGCATCACCATTCTATGAATCTTTCTACCCGAGCAGATCTTTGACAGAAGCATATCTACCTGGTAATTATATAGGTCGTGGTCATTACCAATGTCTAGGATCATATCAATTTCTCCCAGCAAGAAAAGAATGCAAGCCCCCAAGGGACTTGTTAGCCCCACAAATTGTCTCACTATGATGATGATTTGTAACATTCCCTCTTTTATGTGAATTCTAAACGCTGTATTTCTACTATCAATCAAGAAGTATTTATTAAGCACTCAAGTTTGCACTTCAAAGTTGTCTCTATCAAACTGAATGCATATTACTCCTTCCATTTACTCCCTTATTCTCAGCTCTTCATGTCTTGACTCTGGTTTCTTCCCATAAGTTGAGAAGGGTATATAACTATGTTTCAATACAGCAATATTTTTAATGGACCTGTGGTTGCAACAAAATGGCCCAGTTGTTTGGAATTCAAAATATGTACACCTTCCCATCCTCATGTGTTATATTCAATGGATTGCTACACTTGGTTCTGGAAATTCTGCATTCAAATCCTATCTCAAGGGGCAGCTAGGTGGCACAGTGGATAGAGCACCAGCCCTGAAGTCAGGAGGACCTGAGTTCAAATCTGGCCTCAGACCAAACACTTGACACTTACTAGCTGTGTGACCCTGGGCAAGTCACTTAACCCCAATTGCCTAAAAAAACCCAAAAAATGAAAAAAACAACTTCAAAAATAGAGCAAATCCTATCTCTGACACTTGCTAGCTGTCAATCAGTCAATAAACATTATTAAGCACCTGCCAAGCACAATGTAAATGTTTATGTGACTTCAGAGGAAGCCGAAACTTCCCTGAGCTTCATTCTCCTCAACTCTAAAATGGGGATAATAATAGCTGTAGTACCTACTTTATAGGATTTTTGTGAGGCTCAACTGATATAATATTTGCAAAGAGCTTTGAATACTTTAAAAGTGTTATAGCAATGTCAATTACTATTGTTCACATTTCATTTTCATAATATTCAACAATATTATTAAACATATTCAACAACATTTTTATTGTTCACGTCCTCTTATAAATCATCCAAGAGGTACTCAATATACTGCTACAAGGAGAATTGTGTGTACTGCCATCCTCTTGACAGTGAAGGTTGAGCCAATAACAGAAAAAAATTTTTACCTTGACAGAGATGGTTTTGGGCCAAAAAATAATTATGAGAACAAGAGAACCACATCTTTGGCTCACCATTGGAACAGGGATGACAGAAGGAGCCATGCTACTAGATCAGGGGTTCTTCCTTAAACTTTTCTGTGTCATAGACCCCTTTGGCAGCCTGGTGAAGCCTGCAGAACCTATGGAGCTTTCTTAGAATAATGTTTTTAAATACATACAATAAATATATAGGATTGCAAAGGAAACAAATTATATTAAAATTGGCATATTATTTCACATCCAAGTTCATGAACCTCCTGAAATCTATCTATAGACCCTTTGGGATGGTCCATGGACCAGGTTAAAAATCCCTGCAGTACAGCCATCAGAAGAAAAAAGCAATATGACACCAGAAAGTCACTGAGAGTAGCACTCAAAACCACCATCTGGAGATTATATCAGGAGAGAAACTTTTATGTTCATTCTTATTTAGTGATTCTGTAGATTTACATAGATTCTTAGAACCAATACTTATTGAAACATACCTGTCAATTTTGTTTTCTTTTAAAATACTGTTCTATAATATTGGACTACATGCTTTGCAAGTGGGAGCCATTCTCATTGTTTGGGATTGGAGGTGGAGGGAACTGGGGTGGGTAGACCGTGCATAAAGAGTATCATGCATAAATTTTCCCTAAGTGGAGGCAATTCAAGCTCAAATACAGTATTCTTTCTGCTATACCACATTATCTCTGTGTAGAGACACTTAGCCAAAAGCCTGAGTCAAGAAGTTTCACATAGTATGGGATGTGTTGCTGGTAAAGGAACTAATCACGCTTCCAGTTAAAAGGTATGGCCACTGGTTTTCAGTGGAACAGGTCCCAGGAACAGATCACTCATAGTGAACTGATGTTTATTTTGATGTTGTGATATATAATTCCAGATATCAAGGGGACAAAATTCGATTTTGAAAGGCATTACAAAATTCTAAACCCCAGGCTTCAACACATGGCTATAAGAACTTATGGGAATGGTAGTCCAAGGAGATAATATGGGTGCTATCAGTCATCCACAAACTTAGTTTGAATTTATTTCATTCAATTGACTTTTTTTCCCGATGTAATGGGATCCTTGCCCTAACCCTAACTCCATCAAGTCTGAAGCTCACAATCATTTGCTGGAACATTCCAAACTGAAGCAGACCCAGTGTTCTCTCCACCTTTCCAGGTTAGTTTTGACCAATTCAGGTCCCCAACCTGCATAGCCCCAACCAAGCAAGGGAACCAGTCGAAGGGTATTGATTGTGTTATAGCCTCCATTTGCCCAATGATGTTATCATCCATAACTTCAACAAGCTGGTGGACCAGAGCATCCCCCAACCCTCTTGTGTTCCTTTCAAGTGTTCATTAGTGCCCTTTAGTATCCTACTGATAAAGGTCCATAGCAGCATCTTGTACAAAGAATACGATGGCATGATCTCCCAGTATGCCAGAGAATAAGGGTCACGAGACTCCTACTTGCTCTGAAATAAAGCATTCTAAGTTGATATTGATCTCAAGGTACAGCAAGCCTTTCACCAATTCCCAAACTCTTTAACTGCCCCACTTCCCACTCCCCTTCCAGGCACAGTTATTAATGGCTTCTTTCCCTGTTACTCACCTCACTTTTCTTCCCAAAATTGCTTTTTAAAAACTCAGGCCTTGAGTCCAAGTGAGTACCTACTGTCCTGGGAGATTCCCTTGGGATTCCTGCCTCCCACTCTCCTGGTTCTTCCTGTTGGATGAGAAATCAAATTTGCCAGGAGAATCTTTGAAATTGGTATGGTAGAAGGCATGGCAGAAGGCATGAAAGCTTGTTCTTTTGAAGCCCCAGCCCTGACCCCTAGACAAATCCCTTCTAGGGGTTCTGCCTTCTAGGTCCTCTGACTGCCCCAGGCAGGGGGATGGGCCCAGCAGCCCAGAGCTGGGGGGCAAGGGGGGAGGTTGTTGAAGTGGGGTGGGGCAGGAAGTCCATGCTTTTAAGGCCTCTCAGGGTAGGGGCCAGGGTTCTTAACACTGGTGATTCTTGAATTTACTAGGGCTGCCATCTCTTCTGGGTCAGTAGCCTTTGCTTTCACCCTGTCTGGGCCTTCCAACACACCATTATTACCTAGCTAATCTCTGGGCCCTCATGGCTCATTCCTTGCTTAGCTAGGATGCAGAAGGAAGTAGGTCAAGGGAGGAAGTGGTCAAGGGAGGAGGATTCCTGGGATTCATTATCTGTAGGATTTGTCCTAAGACAATCTGTTCAATGAGGAAGTGGCACTGCTCATGGCACTAAGACTTCCAAGAAGAACCTAGGACTATCTACTCCCACCGAAGCTACACCATAACAGCCTTACTAGCTTCATAAAATTTCATAGAATTTGAGTTTGAAGAGACCATGGAAATCATCCAGTTAATCTCCATCACTTTACAAGTATTAAAACTAAGGCACAGAGAGCTCAAGTGACTTGCTCAAAGCCACATACCTAGTTAGCGCCAGAATTGGGAGCAGAATCCAGGTTTCCTGGTCTAATGCTCTTGCAATAGACAGCATGCTTTCTCTATTTCTTCCCTAGTCTCCCTAGTCAATCTGGTTCCATCCTCTTTACTTCCCTGTGCATAAGTCAGATAACTCAGTACTCATGTATTTAAATGGATCTGTGATCTCATCAATTTAAGAATTCCTTCCAATAGTGCAAATCCAGACCCATCCATGCCTGTTCATCCCATAGGACTCTCATCCATTTCCTCCCAAAAGTTCACCATTTGGGGTCTATCCAAAATACTGAAGGCCTTCTTCAATATCTTGAGATATCTTTGGGGTGTCATCCACCTGTCTTCACTTGCTCTTGACACATGACCAGGCTATCTTTTCTGCCATGCAATTGTTTGGTGACATCCTTGACTCATTCTTACAGCTACTATGTGCCTTTCCATTTTCCTCTGTCTGATCTTGATCTTTGGTTCTTCAGAAGTCATGATGTTCCAGGTCTCACTGCCGTATATCAATACTGGTAAGATGAACATCTTACCAATCTTACCAATTTAACCAATCAAAAAGTTGGGTGTTTTATGTTATGGGAAGCTTGTGTTAGTAAAAGTACTTTATAATTTCTCAGAAGGAGGTCATTCTCTTCCTCTTTCTCCTTTTCAACTCAGGTTCCAATTCATTGTCGATCTCTATAGTTTTTCCAAGATATAGTTGGACAAGCTCTAAAAGATGTCCATTCAGATGTATGTTGAAATCTGGGTAACAGAAATTCTTCATATGTTTGGTCTTTCCTGTGTAAATAGACAGGCCAAACCCCTTTGAGCGATTTGCAGATCTCTTTCAGGAGTCTCTTCAAAGACTTAGAGTTTGATGTAACAATGCCATCCACAAACAGGAGCACATAAAGGACCTCTCCATGAGAGAATCCCTTCTCAACTTAAATTTCCTCCATTCCAATAGCTAATAATTTTGGTAAGCATACATGACTCTATTTTATCCCTCACCTAATGTTTATTATCTGAGGATCATTCGACAGGGTTATTTCTGTTATATCTTCCAAATCTTGAATAATTGATATATGGATGGGAGATTCCTTTTTGTAAAAGAGCCTATAAGTCTGTTTTGTTCTACCAAATTAAATACTTTTTCTTAATAAGCAATAAGCACAAGGGGATATTGACATTAAAGAAGGCATATTATTATCAGCTCTACTGCTGTACCCTAAGAACCATGGGACCTTTCCAACTGATATGCAGTTAAATAGTCTATGTATATTATCTCCCCAATTAGAATGTAAGCTCCTTAAGAGCAAAGACTGTCTTACTATTTATTATTTATATCCCTAAAGATTAGCACAGATTTATACATAAGTATTTAATAAAGGCTTTTTCATTATTTATTCATTCATCTTACATTCTCTGCATCTTTTAATCAGTTGTAAAATGGTAAAAATTTAATCTATTATTAAACATTGTTAGCAAAAGCCCATTTATTTCCTACTAATTGCCTTTTCTCACTCCTAATACTTCACTTGGCCTTTCTGCAGTCTTTATCACTGCCAATCCCTTCCTTGTCCTTAATACTTACTCTCTTCTCTAGATTTTCAGGATATTGCTCTCTCCTGGCTCTCCTCCTACCTACCTAACCACTCCTTCTCAGTCTCCTTTGGTGGATCTTCATCCAGGTCACACCTTCTAAGCACGGTTGTCCCACAGGGCTCTGGACTGGTTCCCCTTCTGTTCTACCTTTATATTATTTCACTTGATTAACTTATCAGCTTTCATGGATTCAATCATCATCTTTTTGCTGAGGATTCTCAAATCCACTTATTCAGCCTTAACCTTTCTGCTAACCACCAGACTTGTATCTACAACTGCCTATTAGACATCTTGAACTGGATGTCTTACATACATTTTAAACTCAACATGTCCATAACTGAACTCCCCTTTTAGTAATTTCATTATTACTGTTGAAGATGTCACCATCCTCCCAGTCACCCAGATTCAAAACCTAGGTGTTATCCTTCACTCCTCACTCTCTTTCATGCCCCATATCCAATTTGTTGCCAAGACCTGTTGATTTTACCTTGTGGACATCTCTTGCATATGCCCAAAAGAAATAATATTTTAAAACAAGCTTGTTCCTTTTCCTTCATCTGGTCCTCTTCGGTCCAGTGCCTAACAATTCTCTTTTTGAAAAACAGCCAGATTAATCTCCCTAAAATACTCCTGGATTGAGTCACTACCCTGATTTAAAACCTTCAATAACTTCCCATTGTCTACCAAATTTAGCTTTTTTATCCCAATATTCCCTTATACGTGTTCAGCTCCCTAGTCTAACCACACAACCTGTCGTTCCCTGAACAGGCCTGGCACAGAACAGACCATCTCGGTCCTTCGGGGTATGTCATTCCCTCTGCCCAAAATATGCCTCAAAATCATACTATAATGGTCAATCAACCAATAAACCTTTATTTAAAATCTTCTATGTGCTATGTGCTGAAGATATGAGCTCCAACTGAAATCTTAATGAAGCATCCCTGATTCACTCAGTTAGACTTGAACCCTCCTTCCCCTGAATATGAGAAAATAAAAGCTATGAGAATGAATTTGATGAGTTTAATTTAAGAATAGATATTTTAAACCATGCTTGAGTTTGCCATTATTACTTTCTGCAACTTCTCAATAACTTATCATTTTCTCTGAATTAGTCAGACATTTATTAAGCATTTTCTAAGGTTTACTAGTCACTTTACTAAGCCATGGGGTTACAAAGAAAGACAAAAACACAGTCCCTATCATCAGGGGGGACTTTATATGTATATATGTGTATACATACATGTATGTATATATGTATGTATATACACACATGTATGTATATACATGTGTGTATATACTTATATACATATCCATATGTATGTATGTATATACATATGTACGTATATACATATATACATAAATACACAGTAACTTAGTGAAGAAGTTATGCTCTTTAAAATTTATAATGTACAAAAGAGTTGATTAGTATTCTATGCTTAATCTTCTCAGTCACCTATACCTGAAGTATACTGCCTATCGGCTTTATATCAACATGAATAGATGCCATCCTTTATTGGAAATACATGCACAAATGCATGGAAGGCTAAGGGCTTCTGGCCTTACTGACTTTAGACTTTCATACTAATACCCTCCAGGGATAGGCAAACTATCGTCCGGTAGTCCAAATATGGCCTGCCACCTCTTTTTGAACATTTGTTACATTTTTAAATAACTGAGCCATAGTTTGTCTATCCTTAATTCAATAGTTAAAAAAAAGAAATTTACAATCAAATTCAAAACTAAATCAGGGCTATTTGCGGATGGCTTGCAACACCACCCAATGGCCACTAGATAGAAGCAGAGACCTATCTGGGAAGTACCTCAGGTCCAAAAAATGAACTTGTTCAAAACTTTGCTCTCCCATATTCATGATCAGTGGGTCAGGGACCAGAAAAGTCTAGACGAAGGTTCCAATTTCCAAATGGAGAGATGTGAAAGAAAGAAGCAGGAACTGGCAGTAGAGGAAGGGAGCTCATTATCTTGGAGCTGTGGCTTCTGGCTGCTGATACATGCATGAGATATTTTCCCTATAACCTCCCCTTCATTATGATGTGAGTTGGGGGTCACTCTGTCCTTATAACAGAAGAAACAAATTTGACCAAGGCAACCATCTAAAACTGTAAGTGAAAGATAGGGTAATAATGGGAGAACTCTGCAACGTCTGAATAGGAAATTATGCTTACTTCTGTTACCAAGCTGATTGAACAATCTCAAGAGTTGTTGAACAGGTGGCTGCAACTTTTTTGGAGATTTAGGTGCAAATTCTGATTTAGCATTTTCTTTCCATGTATTTTTACTGCAGGCTTTGGAAGCAGAATCAAATCATTTCATATTTCCTAGACACACAGAATGGTAGAATTTAGGTTTGCAGGTAGTACAAATATTGTTATTTCCATTTTACAAGCAAAGAAACACACCTAAGTACTTTGTCTCCAAATTTATTGCCCTGTGGCCTATCCCATTTTTAGCAGAAGAGGGAAGTGAGACTTAGGGAAGTGACAGCGGCAGAACACTGACTAGAAATTTGGCAGCCTGAGATCCTCAACTAATAAGAACTTTTTTGACATATAATTTAAGAAGTAAACTTATTTTTTTTAAAAAAAGCTGATTTGGGGATTTCCATTTTTTAACAAATTTACTATCTAACTAACAATAGCTTCAAAAGTATGTTCTGGAATCAGTACTAATTCACTTCAATTTCCCATACTTTTTCTATACTTACAGCATAGTGAGAATTGAGACTTAAAATTATAGCTTCTACGGCAAAATTCTCAATCATCAAAGAAAGTTTTAATCATATCCTAAGTCAGGAAAGTGAATTGATCACTGATCCAATTTTTAAAAGCCTTTCAATAACAAGAGCTGAAATAAAATAGGATTTTTCCTTAACCCTCAGGCTCAGAAGGTTCTTTAGGTTTCCCGACAGCCAAACTTCAACCTCACTCAAAAGATATCTCTACCCAGTGAGTCCATGATTCTTGATGCTAAGGCCTCCTCCCCAACCCCTGCCTTTGGAGAAAGAGAGAGAGAGAGAGAGAGAGAGAGAGAGAGAGAGAGAGAGAGAGAGAGAGAGAGAGAGAGAGAGAGAGAGAGATCCTCAAGGGAGACCAAAGTATGTTCATATGTTTTTCCTCCTCCATGTTGTTCTCATTTTACTCAACAACTCATTTTGTCCCTCAAATTGAGGGTAGATTTCATTTGCCCTTGTTCTCTCATGGAACCTATACATTAGATCCATGCTCTGCCTCACTATGGACATAATTAATGCATCTCTGAGCCCCAAAGTCTTCATGTATAAAATTATCTAAGATGTGTCTGCAGGAAGACTTAAATATTGATTGTCCCCCTATTATTTCCTCAAGCGTGTTGTCTCCTCTTGTTTAAATTAATCAATTTTTATTGATTGAGTGGAGTTGAAAACAAGAAAAAAAAAAGTAGCAATCAGTGTGGAGTTACACCAAGGATGAAGTGAAGGTGCAGGGTGGTAAAAAGCATAAGACTTCAAAGGAAAACAGGTTCAAATCATGGCTTTGATACTTACTAGTTGTACACTTTCTGAGCCTCTTTCCATATTTAATACTTAGCTCTAGGGTTGTTATGAGTACCAAATAAAATCATATGTGTAAAGCATTAAGTAAATATGTACTATTACCAGACTTAACTTTTTCTGGTCCCTAAATCAGGGTAGTGTTAGTCAACTAGCAAGTGCCTACTGCATACGTGCTGTGCTAATTCTTCTAGTCATTTCAGAATCCGACCACGTACTTAATAGGTTTGAGATTGGTTACAATGGAGATTCTTCGATATAACCTTCAACTCTGGGAATCTAGGTTTTGGAGGACTGGGGAAGGCACCCTCTCAGCCATATTATGATTCATTTGATCATAATTCACTTTACATTAGTCATTTCATAACCTCATCAGCTAAGTGCTCTCAAATTATCTCATAGTTAGGTGGTGCGGTGGCTAGAGCACTGGCCCTAGAGTCAGGAGAATCTGAGTTCAAATCTGGATTTAGACATTTGGTCAATTACTAGTTGTGTGACTTTGGGCAAGTCTCTTAACCCCATTGCCTAGCCCCCCAAAAAAAATCATCTTAAAGAATTACCGTAATTGAGATACATAATTTTTGAGGCCTGTTTTCTCCCCTGCACTGCAAGGGATAGAGAATGTCTACTTGTTAGGAAGAAATGTTTCTATTTGAAACTTAAGTTACGAGTGTTAACACTTAATTTTGTCCCAGGCAAAATTTCAAGGACTATAAACCACAGATGACCAACAGATACTCTTCAGAGAATGTTTACGCTGGGAGTCCTTACACTGATGAAATCACTGATATGACTTTCTTTGGGAAATTGGAGGAGGGTGGTTAATGAAGACTTTGTTCTGTAGAATTTGTTTGGTTTTTGGTTTTTTTTTTATATCTTCTTTCTCTCATTTCCTGAAAATCATTTCTAGTCCTTCGAGCTTTATTAAAGAAGGAAAATAAAGTAGAAAACTACGCACCTGGAAGACGGAAGTCATTTTCTTTTTCTATTGACAGGGGCAACCTCAACAACCTTTGGATGGTTTTTCCTCTTGCTGAAATTCCCAGGGACACAGTATTTGACATAGACCGTTCTTAGTGATAAGAAAATGTGAGGTCCCGCTGGGATTCGAACCCAGCATCTGCTGTTTACTAGATAGGCGCTTTAACCAACTAAGCCACGCGGCCAACGCTTGCTGTCTATTCTGAATCAACCAAGAAAGGTAGTCTGCTTCCTCTTGGGTTTGGTATATGTATATATGTTTGCTTTTTAATAAGAAAAGTGAGCTAGGGAATATGATTCGTCCATTATCAATACAGACTAAATTCTCGCTTCACTGAGACTGGAAAAAAAAAAAAGAAAGAAAGGAGCATCACAGAAGTGGTGGCGAAGGGGAGAGCCTTGAACCTTCTGATCCTCTTTGGACTCATTCCCCTTAGCTACCTGGGCAGACAGCAGCGGGTGAAGAACTTGGACAGCTTTGGGCGTCGCGATGAGAGGGAAATCGGTGAGAGGGAAAAAAGCGTGCGGAGCAGAGGAGGGAGGACACGGACAAGTTTCAAAGAAGAGAAAAGTGTCAACAGTTTCAGTGTTTGGAGTGTTCTGAGACCCAGCCAAGTCGGGTTGGGAAGGCCCCTGAACCTTCCGAGCTCCTACTCAGAGCTAGGGCTTCCTCTCAAGCCCCTCTCTTCCGATGGCTAAGTTAACAATGGATGTAGCTAGCTTCCCGCCCTCTGCATTTCTGCAGAGCTGTCCTTTTAGCCCTTTTGGTCCTGACTGCAACAAAAAATACCGGAAATTCTCAACAGTTATTCATAATACAAGCGAACTAGAGGCTGTGTCAAGGTTGGACTACACCCCTGATTAAATCACCTCTAGAGTGATTGTGTTGAGTCCTGTGCTGAGCTGCACAATTTAGGAAAAGCACTGATAGTCGGCATCCAGAGCAAAGTGACTAGAATGGGGAAATCCAGATCTTGAGTTCATCCTCTGAGCTCAGGATCTAGAGATGTTTGGACTGGAGAAGACTTAGTAGTTGGGTGGAAGGAAAAGTACTTGAAAGGTTGTTACTTGGAATTTAAGCTTGTTCTGCTTGGCTTCAGAAGTCTGAACCCCAGTTCAGAAACCCTAGTTTCAGCGGTGGGTGAAAGTGAGAGAAAGGAGATTACATGGGCACTCACTAAGTTAAGTGTATTCCCCAAACAAGGCTATCTCAAGTTTAAGGTACTTCCTGGATCCCACATCCATTCATCATTAGGAAAACTATGTGATTAATTATATAAACAACAAAGACCACATAGGCATTTCAACAGCTACAAAAAAAGCCTTTGACAAAATGCAATATTCATGTGAATGGAAGAACCCTTCTTTAATATGATTAAAAGAATTCATCTAAAACTAAGAATCAATGATATTTGCAATAAACACTAGAAGCATACAAATAAGGATGAAACAAATATACCCCCTTACCCCACTATTATTTGACAAGCACTTTTGAGAAACTGGAGTTTGGTATATATTGCATTTAGACTAAATAGAAAGAGAACTTAAACATAAAAGGTCACATAATAAAAAAATTTACATAAAAAAGGAAATACTTTTCCCAAGAGAATTCTTAACCAAACAGGATCAAGGTGATTGTAATAGGTAAACAAAATCACTGAAGATAAAATGAGAGCAACAGTTAAAGGGGAAATACTTGCATCAAATATCACTTATAAAAGTCTGAAATACAAGACATAGAGAAAATTAATACAAATACAAAAGACAGAGAGTAAGTAGTCAAAGAATATGACCCAACACTTTTCAGAAAAATTGTGAATGACTACGAATGACCATTTGAAAAAAAATGCTCCAAATCTCTCATAGTTACAGAAATGCAAATTAAAATAACTTTGAGGTTCCATTTCATCCATTGCACATTGACAAAAAAACAAAAGGAAAAAAAAACAACCCAGAAACCATCAGTTCTACAAGGAATGTGGGAAGATAAGCAAAACAGATAAGTTGTTGGTAGATCTGTGAATTGAATGTCCAACTATTCCATTGCTAACTAAATTGCTTAAACCCTTTGATTTAGCCATCTTATTAATGGGCATAGGTCAAAGATCTAATATACAGTGTACCAAAATATCCGTAGTAATCCAAAGTGGTTGCTCATCCATTGGGAAATTACTGAAAAACCTGTGATGTGTGTCAAAAAAAAACAACAACAAACTTACTAACACTTTAAGCTATCTGAAAGTAGAACAGGCTTTCTCCAGACATAGTGGGCTCCCTTTCATTAGAGGTCTGCAAACAGAAGCTACATGACCCCTTTTGGAATATGTTATAGTGGGGATTCCTTTCTAGTACTGATTGGACCAGATAGCCAATAAGGTCCCTTCCAATTCCAAAAATCTGGTGATCCTGTCTTTCTATGAATGCAGTGCAATATTAAGAAATAATGAATATGAAGAATTAAAAGAGATATGGGAAGATCTGTGTGAACTAATCTAAAATAAAATAAACGAAATCAAAACAATATAAATGTAAAAGACCCACTGGAATAGGGCTGAGTGGGTGGCCTGGAGTTATGTCATTCCCACTCTCTCATATTAAGGGCCTCATCTGCTATAGATTTAGGAGAGTATCAGAGAAATCAGATATGATATGATATTTCTCATTCAATCACTTTCCTTCTTAGATGCATTAATGTTGTCTGTGCAGAAACTTTTCAATTTCAAGTAATCAGTTATCTATTTAGTCTTTTGTAATTACCTCTATCTCTTGTTTGGTTAAGAATACATCTCTTACACACAGCTGTGAAAT